CCCCCCCCCCCCCCCCCCCTCCCCCACACACACACCTTTCTTCTTCGTGTCCGTGCGATTGTATGCAGTCTCGTGTCCATCAAGCTGCGTCAGCCCGTGCTGTGCAATGTCATGCGCACGAAAGGCTTCCTGCCTGACGCCGCCACACCCTATGTCGACAATCCCTTCAATACGCAGTGGCAGTGGTATGTTTGTTGGCCGTGTGCAGGCGCACTTTGCTGGCTTCGCTCATGCATGTGCGCTGTGTGTGCTCGTGATCGTACAGGACCGGTGAATTCCTGACTGGCAGCAGCTTGGATGTGAAGCAGACGTATGGTGGCATGGTGTTTCGCAACAATGTTCTGAATCTCAACCTCTACTTCTCAACCGCAGGCATCCCGACACTCGTGAGCGTCCGCTTCACGCATAGACCAAACACATACACCAAAAAACAGAGACACGAGTGTGCTATGCAGGCCTCTGGCTCGTGGTTCATCGACGACAATAAAGACCCTGATGACGGCTTCCTCCTACGCGGCGACCTGACCACTGCGAGCGGTGCGCCCGTGGTGTGGGTGGACCCCGGCAACAATGTGGCGCAGGAGAGTGGCGCGGTGTTCTGCGACATGAGCTGCTATGAGGCGGGCCGCGAGTTGGTGACGGCGACCATCGCCACTGTCGCGGCGCCTCACGCGGTGGCGTGCCAGGAGGCCTGCCAGGCCAACGCCGCTTGCACCCACTTCACCTTCACGGGCGAAGAGTGCTTGCTCAAGGTGGATCCGCACGTACATTGATGCGGAATTATGTGCATGCTCTTCCTGTCTTCCTCTGTCTTTCCCATGCATGTGTACAGGCTGCCGGCGACAAGTTCCGTCTTCAGGGCTTCCCCTACGTCAGCGGGCCGCGCACATGCCCTGACATACTATGCACTGCGTCGCCTGCCGCTGGGTGCCCTGACGACACCGCTGAGCTGCCCGTTGCTGCCATCATATCCCCGCCAGAGACGTGCTGCGGCATCCCACGGCCCGATGAAGAAGCCAATCGGTGCTCGCTGCCGCCCGCACAGGTACATTAGAAGACCCGTACACATACGTGTACACATCCGGTTGTGTGTGTGCAGTCGCTGGAACAGTGTGACGTGGGTTTCACTGCGTATTCCTTTGACAGTGGTGAGTGTGTGGAGCGCCCGTACGGCGGGTGCGGCGGCAACCGCAATCTCTTCGTCAGCTCTCATGAGTGCCGCGCCGTGTGTGAGAAGAAACGCTTCCTGGCTGCGGCCAAGGAGGGCACTGCCTAGACAGACCGTCTGTGAAAGGGCAGCCCGTATGTGGGACTGACCTTCAGAGGTGGATTTTGTAGGTCTTTTTTATAAATGGCGTACATTTGTAGCGGCCACTTCGTGCACACGAAGTAGGCACCTCATCCATACGTACTGATGACGAGTAGATAGGTGTACGTATGGATAGGATGTCTCAGTGTCTGATTTGTGGCGAATGTTTCTCACTGCACTTTCTATGTGGAAGGCAGGATACGCAATCTCCCACAGCGAAAGCACATACGCGTACAGCCTGTGGGATTTTTCGGTGCCTGTGTGTGAGCAAGGAGGCCCCGCGGATATATCCGGGTATGCATGTCCTTCTGTGTCCTGACATATGTGTTGGCTCTCTGCGCAATTGTTGGCTGTGTTGGATGTCATCTTGCCCCATTGCGCGGACACCTGATGAATTGCATATATGACTGCTACGAATGTCTCGCCCGCTACACTTCAGGTGCGTTGCTTGCTGATGTTCGTGCATTGAATATCGTGACCGTCCGCAGCTGTATAGCTCTTGTCTGCGGATATTGTCTCATGCTGCGCTTCGCCGGGCTGTCTGGCGCCCGCGTCTTTTTCACCCTGTCTGTGTCCCATGTCTTTGTCTCTTGCTGCTGTCATCGATTCCACCCGTGAGATGTCCGCACTTGCCTCATACGATGTGTCATACTGAGGTGGGTTTTGTCCCCGCTACGTTCCTTTCACTCATGTCACTTTACTATAATGCCAAGCGTGTTGCGTCGCTGCCTATCCCTGACGTGTCGTGTCTGTGTACGCTGCATGTGTATGATGAGTGGAATAAGGTTGCGTGACTGCTGCTGAGTGATCCGTTCATGCGTGCAATGCAGTGTCCTTTCCTTTTCGATGTCGGTATGTATGAGCAGATAGCCGCGCCAGAGCAATACCTGCGTATGGATATTGAGGCGCTTCTGGCGTCTCTGTTGCTCCTTTGGCGTGTGCACCAGTGGATGAAAGTAAGGGGTGTCTTGCGTGGATGTTTCCGCCTAAGTATATGGAAGCCAATTGGCGTCTGCACTTAGGGAAGCAATCGTATGTCATCCCTGCACAAAATGATTTGATTCATGCTGATTTTGCCAATGTGTCGTCATTTTTAGACGGCCCGTGCACAACGCTCAGCAGCGGGGTACGGCTGTGCTGTGGCCGAAGATGAAGCAGCTTCGTGCTTGTGTAAGTGAATGGTCTGCAATGAAATGGCGTTCTCTGAAATGAACCCGATGTGGGACATCGATTGCTTGCAAGAATTGGACAGCGTGTGTCTTCGTCGTTTGATGCATTGTCTCTGATATATTCATGGCCATGCCGTTCCATCGCCACCTGCTGTATACATCCATGGTATACGTAATCTTTATCCCAGCTGCTGGATGCACGGTGCACTCCTGATGCCCTTCGTTCATTACATACACTCTCACTCCGCTATGTCTCACTCTGCTATGATGGGAAACAACACACCGGGGTCACGTCCGGGGTCCACACTGCATGTCTCATGGCTTGTGAACACACGTAATATGCATCAGAAGTGAAAGAGCTGTTATCCGCATATCGCGAGACTAATCCTGCTCACCATCTGCGGTCTGCTGCGTGCCGATCCGCGCACATGCAGTGCACGTGCCGATCTGCGCACCTAGGGGGAGAGTGCGGCGAAAGGCTGCTGCTTCGGCCGGCAAGCTGGCCCTCCACTCAGAAAGCTGAACAGACGCTCAAAGCCAGCCAGCGAGAGAAAATAAAAGTCGGTTGTGCCTCAATGAACGAGAGACCTTAATCACTGAATCCAAGCACTCAATTGCCGTGCGCGGCGCCTTCTCTGGCGCCCTGAATGGGAGGTGTGTAGCGACACGCGTATGTCCGTCGAGAATCAAGATAATTTGCGTCTCATTTGTTATTTCTTGCTGCGCTTTGGCAAAGGCACTAGGGGCTGAAGGCAGGAGGGGATTCTGTCTGATTTCCTGACTTCTCTTCATTCTACTTCGCCTTTTTCAGGGGCCAGCAGGGACGCGGCGGACGTGGCCCGTGCGCAGGCCGCCCGAAAGAGGTATGACGATGTCACGAAGCGGGTCGATATCGTCCGCGCCATCGCAGCCGCCATTAACGAGGACGGCTTCGCGACGAGAGCGCAGGGAGAGGTGATCGACCTCCTCACAAAGGAACTCCGCATGGTGATGGGAGGCCCCGAAGACTACCCCGACCTCGACAGAATTATCTGGGACGCGTACAGCGGTAGGCATTTTGGCACACACACGCACACATTTCTCCGCATCCTTTCCACACACAGTTTTCCCCGAGAAGTCACCGGACCGCCACCAGCGCCTCGAGCCCGTCAGGGCCGCTCAAGTGCAAGGCAAGTCGCACGCACAGACCACATCATCTGGTTGCATGGATGTGCGTCTTCTCTGCAGGAGTCAAGGCGGAGCTGCAAAAAAGAAGGGCCGCCGCAGAGCCAGCCGCGAAGGCTGACCCCATGATGTGCAGGCTGAGCAGTAGGCGCATATGAATGGATACTTGTGCGATAGGCAATCTGGTGATAGGCTGGCCCCTGAGCGAGAACACGTGTGTGTGTGTCTGTATGTGTGTGTGCGTAGGACTCAGCTGGCTACATCAACGGATGGGATCTTGCGGCTGAAGCCGGTGTGTGCCACGACAACATCATAAAGGCGCCCCACATCCTCGCGGTGCGCTCCCCACACGCCGCCGTCAAGCTGGCTGTTATGTGCAACGGTCAGTTGAAATTGGTGAATGTACGTCAGCAGGGATTGACGCCTTGCATTTGTTTTCTTCTCAGGTTGGACTATGGCCGACCCTGCCTTTACTGGCGGGATCGGAGATGACCGCGAGTTCGTGCTTATGCCTCTTATGCAGCAGGCGCTCTCCGGACTGCGGCACTTGCACAAAAGGGGCCTCATCCACACCGACATAGAGGTCCGGCAAAGAGCACTTACGACTTTTTCCTCTTGATTTATTCACTCTTTCCTTCGTGTTTGGAACGAAACGGCAGGGAAACCTTGCGGTTGACCTTGATCCTGCCACCAAAGAAGCTCGCCTTCTTATCATCGATCTGGATCGAATGGAGAAGCACAACAACTCAGGAACAAAGGACTTCGTAAGCCACCCACCTGTTCACAAAGTGGATGAAGACACGGAAGCGTCCATGTGTCTGAACAGATGGAGGAGCCCATGGTGGACACGTGGGATATCGGTAAGGCATTGACCGTCCTTGGAGCTGGGCCTGGTTTTTGTTTCTTTCCTTTTCACGGTATCTAGGCAAAGTTTTTGACAAACTGATGGGCGAGAACAAGGTACACACACATACTTTTGTGTATTGGTGACATGTGCACACATGATGTTGTTGCCAGACTTTGGAAGGACGTGGCATCGTGAACAACCTCAAAAACTTCATCTACGACTCCTCACAGGCGAGCTGGGCTGTGGGCTGTACGCGACCACAGATTTATCTTTGTGTGTGTCTCCATTCTTATCGTGTCTCCTTTCCCGCAGGCCCTGCAGCAAATCGAGGACGAGTGGCTACTAAGCTTCAAAAGCACGCCCACGACCCAGCTAAGCTTTCTTGGAGTCCATTCCCGCCTTACCAAAGGAAGGCGACCTGGCGCCCCTGGACTGCACCCCTTCCCCCCCGGCCTCATCGCGACAAACCAGAATGGGTGAAGTACCTCGGCAAGACAAACATCCCCTCTTATCAAGACACGAAGCGCCAAGAGGACAAGAGCTGAAGAGCAAGGTGGACATGAGGGCTAGTGACGAATGCAAAGCCGAAAATCGACACAGGTGACGAACTCTACTCTCAATTGACCGACTGCATATCTCGTGTGTGCTTCTCGTGTGGGCTTTGACACAGGACTCTGCCGGTCGCTGCCAAGGAGGCGTCTAGCGGCTCTTCACAAGGAGGATCTAAGGAGGCTTGAGAAAGGGTGGAAGATCTGATCAAGATACGACGGCCCAAGCGGTCTTGCTGCAATGTCAAAGACGTCCTTCTGTGTCTCTTTCTTCGGCTTCAGCTCACACAGACGCAGCACATCCATGTGTGGCTCTCTTTGTGAATGCAGGTGTGAGTCTTTTGATCGTTGTCTACATTTTATATTTTGCTGCGCCTCTTAATCACTCGCAAGCCTCAGCAGGCGACTCGTTGCTGGCCCCACAAAGGGGCAGTCTTCTGCTGTGACGTATTGGTAGCCAGCTTTGACGGGCCGAGCGTCGCTCTTTTCTTTAGCACATCGGGAATGGGCTCAGACATGACTCATCTGTCGGCCGGAGACTCGACTCAAGTCAATCAGATTTGATGGACGCTCGGGTCGACGGATGGAGGATTATATATCCAGGGCAGTGTCCCTCTGATCTCGTGTTTTGTTAATTTTGTCATGTTTCTGTGGCGACGGCGCTGTTAATGGCGATGAATGTGATGACAGCGGGGTTACACTGTATTGAATTGGTCAAGAAATGTGCAAATCCAGCTGCATGTTTTGACAAGAGAGACTACTCCTTGCGTGGGTGTGTCTCATGCACCACAGTCAACGCCATTCAGCCTCGGTCACAGGGGCACACGCAATCTGTGATAAATTCGCCCTCAGCTAGCGCATTCACCATTGAGACACAAAAGGTCCCACTAAGACGACTGCCGAGTTAGCCATGCACGTGTCGTGGCCATGAGATCATGAGAGAGGCCGCCACGCACATGTGCACACCTCATGTATGTGTGTATGAAGTGAGCGACACGCACCTCAGTGGATGGCGTGTTGGTATCAAGGACGGGCAGCGCGCGGCGTGCATGCGTCTACGTGTGTATGCGTGTGTGTGTGTATGTATGTGTGCATGGACGAGTGAGTGTCTTGTCTCAGCTCTCAGCAAGCAAACAGGCAAGAGCACAAGTACGTACGATGTCATGTCCTTACTGTCTGTCTCTGCAAGCAACCACATACAGTGTCATGCACGACGCGTCCATACCACTGCCTCTCACTCTCTCCCTCTCCAGAAAGACACATCTGCCTCGACTGTGAGTCTCTCTCTGTATACATACATGTACATAAATGAAGCCTTACAACTCCCCACCCATCCATCCAGCCAGCCACCCATCCCCCCACTCATTCACTCACCGCCCATTGTCCCGCGTGGCCGCCTCCTGCCGGGCGGCCGTCTCTGCTGGAAGGCCAAAGCCCATCTCGCCCCACCTTCCCCAGCCAACCCCCTCTCATGCGATATATACCAAGCAATGGGCACGTCGGAAGAGGCCGCCTGGTGCCTGTGGTGCTGGCTCATCTGCACCGATGAACCGGCCTTCCTCCGCTCCTTGTCGTCCAGCTGCTGCGTGCTTGTGGATGCGTCGGTCTGCTGGCCCGTCATTCTCGCCCTGATTGTCTTGGTGATGTAGGATCGAGCCTGTCTGAGCAGTGATGTGGAGGGGGGCGGCGCCCAGGCGGTCTGCTGTGAGGTTGAGAGGGTGAGGGGCGTGACCAGGGGCGGGGAGGGAGGGGGCGGCACTTGGATGCTTTCGGCGCCTTGCCTCTTTTGCTCTCTCAGGAAGCGCTTGGCGTGAGGGGCCCAGCGGTCGCATAGGGCCAGGTCGATGGAGAGGCCGGTGGAGAGGCCTCTCAGGAGCTGACAGGACCGCAGCACGAAGAAGAGGTCCTGCGGGAAGCCCAGCACCGCGTTGCTCTTCAGCGTGTAGTCGGGTGAGAAGATGTTGAAGCAGACACTGGCCGATCACACACAGGACAGAAATGCGCTCATGTCAGCATGAGGGGGATTGCGCCGCGCCTTCTGTCCGTGTCTGCGTACCCCGGCATCTTCCTTGTGTCGAACATGGAGACGGCCATCCGCTCGAGCGTGGCGTTGTTGGAGGGATCCTCCACATGGATGCCTTCACACACACACACACAGTTGAATTGCCTGTACATGCATTCTCCTCGCTGCGTGTGGATAGTACCCAGGTCGAGGAGGCCTTGTGCGATGCGGTCCCGTTGCCTGGACTTGAGGTCCAGCACGAAACTCGCCAGCCGCCTTTGCAAAGGCTGGTCCAGAGCCTGAATGAACGAATGGACAGAAAGGCACACAACACAACAAAGGCCCACAGGTACATGTTGTATCTGTTGGTTTTCTCGCTTCGCTCACCTTGACTTGGCCCCAGTCGAGCAGCCCCAGATGACCTCGCGGCATGATGAGGAAATTGCCAGGGTGTGGGTCGGCGTGGTGCAGCCCATCCTGGCTGAAAATCATGACGCCCCACGCGTCAGCGATCCGCATGGTGATCCGTCTGAGCAGCCGCTGCTGCATCCGGGGGGACAGCCGACGGACAGCGTTGTTATTGGACTCAGCCACCTCACGCAGACGGGTGATCTGCACCCTGCAGGCAATAAGATAAAACAGACACCAACACAGGTATGTTGTCTGCGATTGGCAGTGGGTTGTGTGTACCCATCGAGGAAGCTCATGATGAGGAGTTTCTTGGTGGCGAGTCTTGGCTGTGGGACCTTGACGCCCCTCACTCGTCGGTGCAGCAGCGGCCCCAAGGCCTGCATGTGACTGGCCTCCTGGGTGAAGTCGAACTCGCGGAGCAGCTGACTTTTCAGCTCCTTCAAGGGGTTCACTGCATCATGATGAACACACATACGTGTGAGCGCAGAAAGGCACACACGTGTGTGTGGATGGGGTACTCACCTAGGTCGAATTTGAGCTCGAATCGCTGCAGGTACCTCGCCAGAATCTGCCCACACCAAACGAAACAAGCCAACAAGAAGGGATGGGACTTTGCCCTCCCCTCCCTCCCTCCCTCCCTCCTCTCGCCATGTCCGTGCCGACCGATAGGTTGGTGATGTCGGCTGCCATCAGCCGCCGTGCCCCGGGGTACTGAACCTTCACAGCTACTTTCTCGCCAGTCTTCCTGAGCTTGGCCTCGTGCACCTGCGACAGACTGGCGCTGCCGATGGGCTTGGTGAGGTCGAAGGAGGCGAACAGCTGGTCGAAGTCCAGCTGCAGCTTCTTGAGCTCCTGCTCAACCACCTTGCGGGCCCTCTTGGCCGACATGGGCGGCACACGGTCGTGGAGGGTCGAGAGCTTCCGGATGTAGGGGGGCGGGCAGATGTCGTGACTGCAGTCAATGCAACCATGATAGCATGTGACGCGCAGAGAGTGGAGTGTTTGTGTGTGTCTGGTGGTGCTTTACCTACCGAGTGCCAAGGAACTGTCCCGACTTGAGGTAGAAGCCTCTCAATGAAAGACAGAGGTCCAGCAGACGGTCGCTGTTCTTCTCGTGCTGAGCCGACCACCTGATATGATAGGTCACATCGCATCGATCGCATCACACGAAGCCAGCAGCAAAACACAACGGATCAGCGCCGCTATCAGATATGGGCTGGCTGGGCTGCAGTGCAAGCCGGTGAGGTCACCAGGTGTCTCGGGTGTGCTGTCGATTAGCTTCATCAGGAGACCACAGGGGCAACAGTGCACTCTGGGCCTGGCAAGACCAAACAAGAAGTGGAACCTTGGCAGGATCTCTGTGGGTGGAGAGTGAAGGGCTGGGTTAGTACCTGTAGTATTTTGTAGGACCCGTAAATGACTCCCACCCTCATCCAGAACTGCAGCAGCCGCAGCAAGTTCGACTGCTGGTCATAGTCGAACTGTTCGACAGCTGCAGCGTCACGAGACAACCTGCACACGCAGACACACACACATCACACGCACGCGCAGGCATATGACATGCGTGGCGCTTGCTGCTCCGTCCAAGGCCGTCTTTCTGCCCAGCTCACTTGGCGTCTTGAGCACCCGTGTCGGCCACATTCGGGCGCTTCTTCCTCTGGCTCACGTATCTGGCCCTGGCAGTCTTCAGGCTGTCCACTGGCTTCTGAGAGCGGGCGACGAACGACAGGCACACAACGGGCTGATGGCAGCCCAGAAAAATACAGCAGAGCAGGGCAGCAGAGCCGCAGACGATGACCAGTCTCATGCTTGAGTCAGCCAGAGACTCGTAAGTCGAGAGTCAGCAGCAAGATGAAAGGAAAGATGCTGCTATGAGAAGCTGCCAGGGAGCCTCGCAAAGCATCGTCTCAGCAAGAAGATTCGCAGATCTACCGCCATCGGTTTCGAGAACAATACTAGTACCCTTAACAGCCGGAACAGACGACAAGTTGTTCCGAGCAGCAGCTCGGCACGAAGATGCAGGAGAATGCCGCCGCCTCGTCAAGTGCCAAGATTTGCCTCTTCACGCGGTGGCTTGCCCTGTCCAGCAGTATTCACTCTGTGGTGCTTTTGTCGCTGCTGAACCGCCTCAGCGCCGCCCTGTCGACGACTGACGGCTGTTTATTCATCGCCCTCTTCTTTGGAGGCGCCCTCAACGTGTGTGCGGTCGTGCTTCTCAGCTGGGCTGACCCAGTGGCAATGAAGGTTGATTCCATGAGTGTGTACTACGCCAAGGCTATTGAGGGCGGTGGTTCTCGTCCAGAAGAGGCACCCACCGCAAAGACGGCCGACAACAACACGACAAGCAGGACCCATCACAGGCAGGCAAGGCGTCGCAGCAGCCCGTCGCCCTCCCCACCGCCCTCCCCTCCCTCCCCGTCAGCCCGGTCCCTCCCCCCTCCCTCACAGTGGCCAACCAGGCCACTCTTCTTCCGCTTCGCCCCACACACGGCCAATCACACGAGGTCTCTGATGATCAACCCCCCGGTCAAGCGAAGGAAGGCCGACTTGTTTCGTACCAGGGGCTCGGGGGGTTCTCTGAGGTCGGGCTCGATGATTCTGATGGACACAGCGAGGAGTCTGCGGCGGTCAGTGACGGCCATGCTCATGGGAGAGCGGCCCAGAGATGAGGAGGGAGCTGGACAGACGGCATGTGACGAGCGACGGGAGCCGCATGACGAAAGGTGAGCGGACAGCACACACCACACAGAGAGGCCTGCAGCGGCCGCATACAGACGACATTCATTCACATGGCCGCGTGTCTTTGGTGAATCAATCAGCTCCCACCATGAGCGAAACAGTCGCGGCATCGAGAGCTTCTCCAACAATTTGTTCTCTGGGAGGTGCGTCATCCGGGTGGTCAATGCCCCGTCGCTCGATATGGGTGAGTGCGAGGAGGGGTACGTTTACGTCGACAGTGAGGACTACTTCAAGGGGAAGAGGAGGACCATGCAAGTCATCATGCAGGTAACTGATATGCACACACACGGAGACAATGTCGCCTCTGCTCGTCATGACCGTGTGTTTTGTGTTCGTCATTCAGGGTCAGTTTCGCCATAGGACGCCGTTTAGTGAGGTGTTGACAGGTCAGGCGTTCGACCGGCCGCCGGCGCTGCCCCCTCAATGGGCCCTCAACCTCGGCCTCTCGATCGTCAGGTCACTCAACCCATCTATACAGGTACCTCCCTTAAGGCGCCAAACCACCTGCATCGCACCTGATGCATTGTGTGTGTATGTGAGCAGGAGAACCTAACTCAGCAGGACGCCTGTGTTGGGGGTCGGTACATCCTGAGCCCACTCATCGCGACGGCGCAGACGGTGCACATCGCTCACGGCCCGTCTGCATCAGACTCACCCACCAGCGGAGAGAGGATCATGCCGCCTCGGCTGCTGGGCGCATGCGATGTGCCCGAACAAACCACGCTTCTAGGTGGGTAACCCACTGGACCAGATTGCATACCGAACATACCTCTTTCTGTCGCGTTGCCTTGTGTGTACAGGTGGGATGTTTGCGAGCGGGCAGGTGCCCCAGGGCCGCCGCAAGAAGCACTTCCAGCGACCTGAGAACCTCAGCGGCCACTTCTTCGAGCCTGACCTCATCTACACATTCGACTTCTACCAGGCAAGCAGGCCAAACAAGCAAGGGCCAGTGAGTGAGGCGGGCAGGCGGTGATACTGCCGTCTCCTCTGTGCTGCGTGCAGCATTTGTTTCTGCCGTCGACCTGTGAGTTCGATTTGGGGTTCTACAAGTGAGTGAATCAATGCAATAAGCTGCCTGACCGGCACAGAGAGGATCCCACACAGTCCCCTCCCCCTGGCTGGCTGGCTGATGTCATCAGGCTGGATGTGAGTCGGTATCTCAACCGTCAGCCCATCGAGTCTATGGCCATCTGGGGGTTGCCGAAACAGCTGCAAGGCAATACCAGCCAGGACCACGGGAACGGCCACACGGCCAGGAGGCGTCGTGACTCTCAGCACCAGCAGCATGAGCAGCAATACTTTTGGCGAATTCAGATTTGGCATGAGAAGCTGCTGCTGTGACTTATTGATTGCAATGTGCATGTTGGAAGTCGATTCAGTCAGTCTTGGTCTGTCTGTCTGCCTGTCTGCCTGTCTGTCCACCTGGGCGTTTATGTGTACGTCGGTGTCTTTGGGGCCTTTGTCGGTCGGTCATATCCGTCAGAGACGCATTTGCGTACGTGTAGTGTATTCTGTGGGTGTCAACGAGACGGCCCGCCGATATGGCGCGGCACGGAAGGGAAAGGACACATGATCTGTGGATGCAGCCGTCTGTGTGGGGGAGATCTGCATGCATACATTCATCCACTGACCACGCTGCAGTTTTTCTCCACCCTCCCCCCTTCTCCGCCCTTCTCCGCGAGCTCATTTCCGATCGCTTCTCCTCGCGGCCCTTGCGAACGCTCGAAGAGCAATATGCCGTCAACAGAGAAGCGCGACGGGCAGCCGGCGATGGGTGGATTCATGTCACGCTTCGCTTCTCCCGCCGCACTCGTCGTGGGGCTCCTCATCTCCATTCCTCTCGTCGTCCTCACCCTCCATGCCACCACCTACGGGCTCATCTCACTCCTGACGGCCGAGGACCTCCCCGACCACCGGGACCTCAGCCTGGCCTACGCCAATGAGACGGTTGAGCTGACCGAGGAGGAGCATGCAGACCTTCGTCGGCTGCAGCAGGATCCTGACATCCAGTACATCAAGAAGCTGTACAATAATCCCATCTCTGAGGGCACCACGTCCTTCTACTGGAACCTCACCGACAGTATAAGGATGGGGTACATGGCTGCTTGGGATGACTCCATGGATGAGCTCATGGAAGGATGCATTGTCTTTGCTTGCTGTCTGTCTGTCTGTCTGTGATGTCAGATCTGCGTGGTTTGTGTCACCTGTGGCCGAGCCCGCCGGTGGGAAAGAACAACATCTACCGCACAGCCGCCCTGCCCAACCACAATTTGCGAAACGGACGGGGATGCGGCATGTGCATCGAGGTGAGGTGACCGCACAACAGAGCAACATGCAGACGGATAATAATGCCTGTCTGCCTGCCTGACTTGTGTCGTGTTGTTCACACACACGCAGGTCATTTCTAATGGTGGTGGCGGTGGCCACACGATGAGTCACCGGCTGCCAGTGGGCCAGCGGCTGTATGGCTACGTCAACAACGCATGTGGCACATGCGAGCCGGACCAGATAGATATGGAAGACGAGAAACGCGCCGGCAGGTGGCAGGTGCGATGCATACATATACACATACACATACACACACACGGATGGCTGTCGGATGATTGGTCTATGTCTGCAGTCGACGTGGCGGGCGGTGGACTGCTTCACCCGCGGCACCCCAGTAGAATTCACAACCGAGCCAAACAGCGGCAAAAACTTCCTCGGGGTACCGACACAAGAAAAAAGCAGCCGTGTTTGTGCGGCACCTGGTTGTGTATGCATCTTTTTACACCAGGTCCAGCCGCGCAACGCTCCGATCCCGTTCATCAAGGTGGAGTACTTCCACCCCTTCAACAAGAAGTGGTACAACATGAAGTTCCAACCCAAGAGAAACTATTGGACGGTACATCACCTTAGTACACAGATGCACACACATGCATCGCATCCAGCAAGCAGTGTAGGAGGAGGTCCCTGTAGTGTCTGCCTGTGTGGGGTGGGCTTGGTTGATGATTGATTCAGCTGCAGGCAGATGACCTGAAGCTCAAGTATCCGAACGACCGCTTCAAGGCGCCGCTTCAAGTGCGACTGACATCCCTAAAGGTACTTGGGTGGCTGGCTGGCTGAGCACCTTCAGATATACACAAATGGACAAGTGTGTTCCTGGCTGTGTCCATTGGCAAACAGGGCGAGGTGAAGGTCACGAACATCAAGCGGTTCGGCAAGGGCATATACGACTCCTTCGTCAGCGACCCACCTGTCAGATTCTCGGTAGGTACTGTACACATAACATGTAGCTACCTACCGAAAGGCGCCACACGCATAGGTGCTGTGTGTGTCTTTCCCCGTGTGCAATAAATAAATGCAGGGCATCAAGAAGTCAACCGTCAAGAAGGGTCAGTTAGTGAACGCCAGATGCTCGCGTGACGTATCTCTCTTTTCCGGCGTGTGCTTTGCCTCACTCATTATAGGTAGCTGCGACATCCCCAAGAACCAGCGCCAGAAGTGCTCACCCTTTGCCAACATGTGCCAGCCATGCAAGGTACATCCATCAACAGAAAGATCACACACGGCAATAGGACGCCCCCGTACCCTTTCGCATAGATGGCATGCTCTTTGGTATCTCTGTGCAGATGAACGGCTGCTGCTGGGACCCCCAAGTCGGCCAGGGCATTCCCAAGTGCTACAAGCGAAGTAACCGACACCCACACACGCTGACACACACGCCATTCGTTCCAATTTTATGTTTTACTGTCTGGCGTCTCACTGATGGATGGATCGATCAGAGAATTCTGGTAGTGAGAAGGTGCCGGGGAACCCCAAGTCGTCCAACCCCGATCTGCGTGAGTGCCTGATGCGGTTCAACTGCCCCAGCAAAGAGCCCAAGATAGTGATCAACAGCCTCAAGCAGACCGAGAAGAGGGTGCCCGTCAAGAACATCTACCCTGCCAAGCACCCAGACTGGCCGTCCTCTCAAGTACACCACACAGATGCCCTCAATCAGGCGATCGAACACAGCACACACATGGACTCTCTCCCTGTCCCTCTGTGCAGCTGTTGTACAAGGTGAAGCCTGTGGACGCCAAGAAGCTGCCGTCGACAGTGAAGGTGTTCTTCAACTACGGCGGGCAGCAGGTGGTGGTGCAGTGCTGGGGCAAGGTCAAGCACTGGGCAAAGGTCAAGCTCGAGTTCTCACTCCAGACCACCAAGGGCGACTACTTCCAGAAACGCAAACACGAAGGCGAGCCCACCATCTGCAACCTCGTCATCCACTGTCTCCCCTCCTAGCCGCTACGCTCCCCGCGTCAGTGCACCCAGACTGACTCAGCCGGGCAGGGAGGCGGTGGGAGGTCAGGGATGATTTGTTGATGGGAGGGGGTGCTTCTGCGTTTTTCTGTTGTGAGGATATGCTGTGCTTGCACATATACGATACGTACACACATGCACATTTGGGGGGCTGTGTGTGCGGGGGGACTGTGTGTGGGTACATGTCTGCCTGCTGTTATCGATAGGGGCTTGGCTTGAGTCGGGGGGCGACGTCTGGCTGGATACACACACACACACACACACACACTCTCTTTCACACGGGGACGATCAACGATGTTTTTGCCAGCCAAACATACACAGGCACAATCCTGTGTATGTGGGTAGTTTTGCGGCCGGCCTGTCAGTCTTGTATAATTTGCCACCATGGTGTCTGTGGTTAATGAGACGGACAGACACACAGGGAGACACAGAGAGAGACAGCTGTTCTGAATAGCGAGCGGGGAGGGAGACAAGGATACCGACTAAATGACACACTTGACCGATCCTTTTGTCAATGCACTCTCACGTACATACGAATTTGTGTATGCCTACCTGTGCGTGTACGGATATGTACGTGAATGTTTGGATGAAAGTAGGTCAGTCAGTCAGTCGCGTGTGTGTATGCAACCGATAGGTAGGTAGGTAGGTAGGTAGGTAGACGGCATGACTATAACTTGACTGCCTGCCCTCCGCAGAGGCACATTTGCCGTGTTTGCTTGTCCTCCTTTTGGGCCGCTGCCCACTGCACGTGCATTGCGTGGGTGTGAACTTGTGTGAGTGCAAATGAAGGAGTGCAATGAGTGCTTTTCAGTCAGGCAACTGGCAGCTGAGAAGATGGGCATGTACATATGTACCTGAATGAGATGAGGCAGCACATAAGATGCGAGCGTATCTAAGAGCAAGGTCAATTGCGGTTCAGACACAAAGATAAAACAGTGCCACAAGGCACAGAAAAAGGAGAATAACCGATCCAAAAATAATGCAGCAGGGCCACACGAGCCACAGAATCTCTCCACAGACCGCATCTCTGCGGCTCTCCCTTATCATCACTCCTGCCTGCCTGCCTGCATCGAAATACACGGGGACATGACCTCACTCCCTCCTGTGTAGTACACGTCGGACACTCGATAGCAGGTAGTCCACATCAAGATTTGCCAGCCCCAGTCGACCCAGCTGCTCCCTTTTCATCGCCACCCGAGTTGCATGCCGTGGACACAATAAAACGCCTTGACGGTAAGTGTGGGGCGGCAAGAAGACTTCATCCACATAAGAGGCAGAGGGCACTTGCGCCACACGAATGTCCCACGGTAAGAAATAGGGATATTGCTCGGTGGCCTCTACTGTTTTTCTCGTGTCTGTTGTTCTCGTGTCTCCTTCTCTTTGTCGGCTATATGTCTCCATTCCCTCCACTCTTTGCAGCCACTCCGCCTCCCTGACCTCCATACTCCTGCCCTCCTCTGTCGCTGTCCTTGCCCAGCCCCGCCACCCATCACCCCCCAGCATCAGTACGCGATGGTCGCTCTCATCGAGGCTGTCCTGCCTGTTCACCGCGCCAGCAGAGGCAGAGGCCATCAGCTCATCAGCTTCCTGGAGCGCCGGGATGGCCTCAGATGCGATCGACGGCTGAGGTGATGGACGGCCGAATCGGGGCAGAGATGAACTGTCGTGTGAGGTGAAGCTCTGCTCGGGGTGCGGTCTCGCAGCTGTCCTGCTGGCTGGTGGCTGGGTGGGGGGTGAAGAAGGCGTCGACGATGCGAGCTGCTCGCATTTGTTCGCGTGGTACATGTACCGAGACATGATCTTGTTTCTGAGAGTGCACAATCGATGAATGGCCTGACACACACATACGCAGGAGGGGGAGTCAAATTCGCCGTTCGTCGAAATGCCATCGTCTGCTGACGGACCTCTTTGAGTGCATGCAGTCTGTCCCGTTCCCTCGCGCTGCTGCGATAGAGGTCCGCTTCAGCCTCCCTCTCAAGCCTTGCGATCCGTTCCTTGAGTCCAAGAAGCTGCCGCCTCATCGCAGGGCTATCCCGGTGGGTCTCAGGGGTGAGAGGGTGCGGCAGTGTATCGATGTCGATGAGCTGCTTGGTGTAGACCATCAGAGGGTGGGCGTATGGGGGGCTGAGGGGGTCCCGCGACAGCTTGCGGAGGCCGCTGACATAGGAGGTATTGGCCTGACATCAGTGAGCGACACCGAAGGTGCATGTTTGTGCCTATGTCGTGCCTCTAGCCTCTTGTCACCTGCATGAGCCTGTCGAAGAGGTGATGGCATTTGTTCTTGTGGACTTCCCACTCCTCAGCCAGCCGCCTTCTCTCGGCCAGATCCCCATCGTCGGCCCTGGCATCGGAAGGGACATCTGCCGCGGTCTGGGTCTCCACACTTTGAGTCACATTCGGTACATCGACGTGCTCAACTCTGTCAGCAGACAGACCACCAAGGCATGCATAATGTCCTGGTATTGTGAGATCTTTGTTCATACCGTTGATGCTCACAAAACGAGGGGCCTCTGGACATGGGTGATGACACGGTGATAGTGGCGGCGTCGCAGCACACTGGGGGAGGGGGGCTGTTGACGGCCGTGTGGATCAACACGGGGGACGGGGGCTGGTCGGTTGCAGCGTCGACGCATACAGAGGGGCTAAAAGGGAACCAAAAAGAGAGATAACGACATGAGGAGTCTCTACTCAACAATCGCATGCGGTGTCTCGGCCCACCTGCCAGCGCTTTGGAACTGTGTGGTGGGTGACTCGCTCGGACGAGCGGTCAGCTGCCATGTGCTGTCGTCATGAGTGACATCCGCCAGCTGTGCCACGCGATTGGACGTGGGACTGCCGGTCGAAAATGTCAGCGATGATCGCGTGCCTAGGGCACGATCGATTTTGAGAAACTCCAACTCTTGCTCGAGACGAGCCAGCTTCGCCTTCGCAGCCGTCAGCGCTTCACGCTTCTCCTGATTCGTAGATACAGGAGGGAGACAGAGAAAAAGATATATATGCGTTCTTCGTGGATCGATGTCCGCTTACATCCATGAGATGTCGCATTTCCTCAACATCGCCTTCTAGCTTCTGGTTGGCCTCCTTCAGCAGTACATTCTCCCTCAATATCCCACTGTCGCCTTCGTGAGAAAGCGAGGCGCTCTTCTGCCGCTGAAGCATGTCTCTTGGGGGCTGCGGCGCCGAATTCCTCCGGTATGCGGCCCGCCTCTCGCCGATGGAGATGGACTGTCGGTCAAGCATAGTCAGGGAGGGTACCAGCTGTATCACCCTGGGCCTGAAAAACACTACAGTGGGGCCTGGATGTTCGTCTCGGTTGTGCGTTGTGCGCACCTGTAGTTATCCCTGGCCACCACGGGGTTGAGAGTGAAGTCCAGCTCCCTCAGTCTCGGCGATCTCCCCAAATGCCGTACTCCGCCACCACTGAGGTCGCTGATTTTATTGTAGCTCATGTCCAAATGCCTCAATTGCTCCAGTGAGACAATCGATTCCGGGATCGCCTCAATCATATTCCTCGATACATCCAGTGTCTCCACTTTTGTCAGCGAGCAATCGAGCCACTCCAGCGACTTGAGGTTGCAGCGCCGTAGTTTGACCGTCGTGAGCGTCGACGAGAGCAGCTGCAACCCAGCGGCCAGCAGCCCCTCATCGAGAACCACAGCATTCTGAAACTCTATCTTCTGCAGAGAGGAGAGCCGCGATAGCGTCGGCGGGGACGACAGCAGGGTAACCAGCTCCACGTCCTTATCCGTCAGAGCGCGGATGTCCTCAAGTGAGCCGCCGCATGCGTCTTCTAGCGCCTCCTCAACGGTGGAGCCGGTATGCCGAGCCGAAGCGGGCGGAACCATTTGGCTTTTGGCACACGGGGGGGCTGTTCTTGGTTTTTTCTCCCGAAAGACCTGCGAGCTGAAAAGAGAGAGTTTCACGGAATGACCAAAGCCGCGCCCTACGGCTGATACAGCTTCTACCTTCAATGCGACGTGTGGAGCCTGTGGGAGTCCGACGCCGATGTCCCCACAGCCACAAGAGGACCTCATGTGCCAGGGAATAGGCACACCTGCCGACAGCTCCCTCGGCCACCACCCACAGCTTCTGATGTACAGCTTCAATGCCGCTGTCTCGAACCTCACACGGTCCCTCTCCCAACCTGTGCCGCCTACCGGTGCCAAGACGACCGCTCGGGACATTTTTCGCTTCACCGCTGGCGACCAAGGTGGCGACGCAGCAAGCGCCACGGGAGCGAGAGGGCTGGCGGGGAGTCAAGCGTCGAGCGCCGCCCTCCCACCCACCCCCATCGGTCCCTTTGTCGGTGTCCCCCCGTCCTTCACCGAGGCGCTGAGTTCGTCCATCGATGTCCGCGACCTCGCCCACCACCACCCCTCCCCTCCCCCATCATCAGCCAACGGCACCAAGCGGCCTCTCCAACACGGCGCGAGGCCCCTCCTCTCGGTCGACACATCATCCACAGCAGCCGACGGGCTGGTCTATCGGCACGGCAAGCGGACGCGCAAAGGCACTGGGAGCTCACAGGGGTCCCAGATGTCCGATCGGAGCGTGCAGCGTGACTTCGGCCAGATGTCGCTGGCCTCAGGCAATGAGCAGGAGGAGGACCTCTTCAAGGACTGCATCGAGGAGGAACGAGATGACGACACAAGCCCCGTCAATGACGAACTGTTCGTGAGGCGGCGGCCGCCGCCGCCCAACGAGCGGCTATACCCGCGCCCAGCCTTTTCCCTCTCTCCGTCCCCTTCCCCACCCCCTCCCCCTCCCCGCAACTATACTCGCGAGAGCAAGGACAGCTCGATGGACGTGGACGAGTCGGCGTGGATGGAGATGGACGGCGGCCATGTGAGTGAGAATGATAACAACAACAGGGAGGGAGGGGTGTCGTCGGGTGAGGATGTGCAGATGCGGGCCCCCTTTGAGGGATATGAAGACACCTGTGCTATTGTGGCGCATTTAAAGAAGGTATGTATAGGGGCGGAGTTGGGGGGGGGGGGGGG